GTTTCGTACAATCACTTGCGTGTTTTTGGATGCAAGGCCTTTGTTCATATTCCGAAAGATGAGAGGTCGAAGCTCGACATGAAAACAAGGCCATGTGTGTTCGTCGGTTATGGCCTTGATGAGTTTGGATACAGGTTCTATGACCCAGTGCAAAAAAAACCTGTAAGAAGTCGAGATGCGGTGTTCGTAGAAGACCAGAGTATAAAAGACATCGATAAAGCCGAGATGACAGAGAAGTACAACGATGATCTGGTTGATTTAGATCCAGTCCCTATACCTACTGTGTATCCTGATCAAGGGGGAGCGACGCCAGATATTGATGTTGGTCCTGCAAATGGTGATGTCCCCACAGTTGATGATGTTGAGCCAACTGATGGAGTTGAAGAAGGGGTTCAAGAACCACCAGAAGAACCTATTTTGAGGAGATCCAGTCGAGAGCGGCGTTCGTCGACTAGATACTCCTCAAATGAGTACGTGATGATCACCGATGCCGGAGAGCCAGAAACCTACCAAGAGGCGACCTCAGTCGATGAAAAGAAGCAGTGGTTGAAAGCCATGGAAGAAGAGATGGAGTCTCTTCACGAGAACCACACTTATGACTTGGTGAAGTTACCTAAAGGCAAGAAAGCGCTCAAAAACAGATGGGTCTATAGATTGAAGATCGAAAATGCTAGCTCGCAGTCACGATTCAAGGCACGATTGGTTGTGAAGGGGTACGGTCAGAAAAAGGGAATCGACTTTGAAGAGATATTCTCACCGGTGGTGAAGATGTCCTCGATTCGAGTTGCTCTTGGTTTAGCGGCGCGGTTAAACTTGGAGATCGAGCAACTTGATGTGAAAACTGCGTTTCTTCACGGAGACTTGGAAGAAGAAATTTATATGGAGCAGCCCGAGGGATTCCAAGTTCAAGGCAAAGAGCATCTTGTATGCAGATTGAAGAAGAGCTTGTATGGCCTTAAACAAGCTCCGAGGCTGTGGTACAAAAAATTCGACTCCTTCATGGTTAGTCACGGGTACAGCCGAACATCGTCAGACCATTGTGTGTTCGTCAAGAGGTATTCCGATGATGATTTTATTATTCTCCTCTTGTACGTTGATGATATGTTGGTCATAGGCCATGATACTAGCAAGATTGCTCAGTTGAAGAGAGAGTTAAGCAAGTCTTTTGCGATGAAAGACTTGGGAGCGGCGAAAAAGATACTCGGTATGAAGATCTCTCATGATAGAAAGAATTGGAGACTATGGTTGTCCCAGGAAGACTACATCGAGAAGGTACTTGAGAAGTTTAACATGCGCAAGGCAAGGGTGGTGACCTCTTCACTTGCAGGTCACTTCAAGCTCAATTCGGAGCAATGCCCTACAAGTGAAGAAGACAAGGCAGACATGAGTCGAGTTCCTTATGCATCTGCAGTTGGCAGTTTAATGTATGCCATGGTGTGCACCAGGCCCGATATTGCTCATGCTGTTGGAGTAGTCAGTCGTTTTCTCTCCAATCCGGGAAGAGAACATTGGGAAGCCGTCAAGTGGATATTGAGATATCTCAGAGGTACCTCAAGAGCATGTTTATGCTTCGGTGGTGGTGATCCTATGCTAGTTGGATATACCGATTCAGATATGGCAGGTGATGTTGATTCCAGAAAGTCCATTTCAGGATTTCTGATGACTTTTGCAGGGGGAGCCGTGTCGTGGCAGTCTAAGCTGCAAAAGTGCGTTGCATTATCTACCACAGAAGCCGAGTACATTGCGATTACAGAAGGTTGCAAAGAGGCTTTGTGGATGAAGAAATTCTTAGAGGAATTGGGCTTACACCAAGAGAAGTATGTTGTGTTTAGTGATAGCCAAAGCGCTATCCACCTCTCCAAGAACTCGTCATTTCATTCGAGGTCCAAGCACATTGAAGTGAGGTATC